CTCCCCGAACTGCAGGAGAGAGTGCAGCAAAATTTTCACGACCGGTCGATCACGCTCGGTCGACCGGAGCTGGTTGCCAAGTATATCGAGCCTTTGAGGGATCCGCTCTGGGACAGGGGGCTCGTACATTTCTACAAGTCGCTGCAGGTGTGTCTTGCGCGTGCTTTTGTGTTTCGTGCGTGTGTTGTACCGTATGGTATACTTCGTGCGTGTGGTTTTTTACTCCGCATCGCCCGCGCTGTATTCCGATAGAACTGATCCAACAAAAAAAAATTCACCCACAGAATCCGCCGAAAATCGTTTGTAGACTATGCGGTTGAAGGAGGAGTAGGTGGAGGGAGAAGGAAATGCTGCAAAAGGACGAGAATAGATAGCGGGGGGGGATTGTAAAGAGACAAGCAGAGTGGGGCCGAAGAAAAAGGCACAGATTGAAAGGCAAAGGTCATTTGTCCGATGAGTATCAGCGGCCAGGCGAAACAATCCCCGCTCACAGCGTGTCTTCATGTATCTTGTGTGCCGCGTTTGTTGTGCCGTGGTGGTGTCGCTTTTTGCTCCGGCGGGGGTTGCGTGAATGCGCACCCAGGGGGAGGTGCAGCCGGGAGAGCAGCTGCTCCAGAACACGCTCGACGTGTGGAAGGGCCCGTCCATGATCATCACCGGCGACGATGATCCGACCGTCCCCACGCAGGTTTGTCGCAGAGCAGGCGGCGTTCGGCTGCAACCGAATCGCCAACAACGGGTGTCTTCTCTTTCGCAATCGATAGTGAGACGAAAAGGCAAACAAACATCGACGTGATCCGACCGACCGCACTCGCCCAGTTTGTCGCAGGGTCGCGGTAGTAGCAGCAGCAGCGGGCGGTATAATCGGCTGCTACCGAATCATCAACAGATACCTTTTCTGAAGCAATCGGTAGTCAGACGAAAAGGCAAACACCAACAACAGGTGAAGAAAGGCAGGGATATCAAGAGCGGTGATGCCGTCGTCTGCCACCCTTTGATTTTTCGCTTCTCCCTTATCTGTGGCGATTTTCGGCGGCGTGGGTTTGCCATACCCTTTCGCTCCCTCTCCCCCACCGTGCTTCGAGATCACACGATAGTTTTCGGCGTCGCCCCTGCCAAGTCGGGGAGGGGTTAGCAGAAAGCCTTCTTGCCTCCTGTGCTCGTTGGTCCTCCCTTTTGCTATGTTGTCTGGCGACAACAGTACACCACAGACGGACGGCCCGCACACCTTTGGCGCGCATGTTTCATGAAAGTGTCGTCGCTCTTGTCGAAACTAACCTCGCTCGCTGCGGCGAACGCCAGCCGTGCTTCACCCCCTCCTAAGCTGGCGCGGTCAGTTGCGCCTTGCGGGACGTTTCGCCCTACAGTACTTATGATCGAGCGTGTCCGCCCCTGTCCCAAATTCTCCCCTGCCCGCCCCCCCCGGTGTTTTGCCATCGGGGTTGGGTTTTCGTCGCTTGGCAACGACGTTGTAAAACAAGCCGCCCCCGCCGGTGTTTGCCATCGGGATTGGGTTTTCGTCGCTTGGCAAAGACGTTGTAAAAGAAGCCAATTCACTTCGTGA